ACTTTGGCTGGAATATTTGTTAAAGTGTCCTCTACAATTTCTTCTTTGAAGAGAAAAGGTTATTTCCACTTCTTCTTACTTAAAAGTGAGGTTAATGGGACCAACTAATTATCTTCCAAATTTAACATTTATGCATTCCGATATTTTCATGGCTGACTTCGAAATACAATCAAAAGCCGTAGGAGGAAATTTCCTCACAATCCAATACACAATTTTAATAACACAACGGTTCCCCCACCACCCCACATTCATTTTAAATTCCTAACCAACTAATTTAAATTTGTTGGGTGTTTATTTTCACTGCATGTTACCGCCTGACTGGCTTGATGGCTGGCATGACTATTAAGTGCACGATTTTTTGGTTTGAAAATGCATTCCATGTTTTCACCAAAAATACAAAATGCTATGTCAATCTTGATTTATTTTCGATTTTTTTGTTAGTTTGGTTTGTTTCTTTTGTGGACACAGAAAACAGTTTGAAGTTGGACAGGCCTTTTGTTTAGAGATGACCACACACACTCAAATCGAACATAAGAAAACTGGGTCAAACTATTCCTAGCCTTTATATTCAAAATTATGTTATGTTGCTAATTTTTTTTGTTTCGTTTGTTTGTTCTTCGATTCGATATGCCAACTATTGAACAAGAAGATACATTTTTTATAGATTCTGTTGCGTTTTTTCTTTGAGCACTTTTCGTTTTTGGTTTGCGAGTGTAACCAAACTAGAGCAACATTTTTGATTTTTTTTCTGTTCTGCTCCAATTTTTCTAAAAAAGACCCAAAGAATACCACACAATGTTAGCTGTTTCTGGTTCATTTCATAAACACACACAACCACACACACATTTGGAAAAGTTACACACAACAAATCTAACCGACATTTGTCTTTAAAGTTTGGGTCACTTGCCACCTTTTGCATTTGCATGGCCAGTGGAGACTTTTTGGTTTTCGAAAAAAATGAAAATAATTGACAGGGGGAATTTTGTGGAGGTTTTGATTTTCCTGTCAGTTTTTTGTTTGTTTTGTTATTTGAATTAGCCAACAAACAAGCCAATATACCAATTATAAATTTAATATTTGATTGATACTCTTATTTGTGTGAAATTGTGTGTGTGTTTGTGTGCGTGGTTGTAAGCTGTCTTAGCTGTTATGGGAGAAATTTAATTGGCTTTCCGTTAACATGAAAACCAAGAGATTAAATTGTAACTGTTATTTTAATGACAAGTTAAGATAGAAATAATAAATAGATTTGATACTGGAAGGAAACACTTGTGGTGTCAATCGGAAAAGAAGAAAAAAATAAAAAACAAAAGACTTAAGCCATAAGCACCATATTTGTATGTCAAAGAAGATTTATTCTATTCATAGCAATAAGTTTTCTATAGAAGATAGAAAAATCATTGTTTTCAATGAAAGATTTGTGAATGTGTCCTCCACAATTTTTCCGTTAATATGGTAAAAATATTTCAGCCCCCTCCCCTCATAATTAGTACAAGGCCTCCTCCTCTCCTAAAATGGGTTATAATTATTTCAAATTTAATTTTGTAAGCCAATTTGATGGGGTAAGGGGCTGCGGGAGAAGGTTGAGTATTGCGGAAAAAATATCGACTGAAGTATCCTCTACAATTTTTTCTCAAACATGAAGAGGATATTCGAAACCTTTCCCCCGAAAATGTCATACAAACCCTTCCGCTAAAAAAATAAATAATTATTTTTAATATTTATTTTTAAGGTAAATTAATATTGTTAGAAGCGGTGGGGGAGAGTTGAGTACTGTGGAAGAAATATCCATTGAAGTGTCCCTTATAATTTCTTCCCCAACATGGAATGGATATTTCATACCTTTCTCCCCAAAAAATGTGATACAACCCTTTACTCTAAAAGAAGAATTTTATAATTTTATTTTTTTATTTTTATAATTTTTAATTTATGGGGTATTTTTATGGTGATTTTATATTGTTAGGAGCGCTGGGGGAGATTTGATTACTGTGGAAGAAATATCCACTGAAGTGTCCCTTATAATTTCTTCTCCAACATGGAGTGGATATTTCAAACCTTTCTCCTCGAATAAGGTGATACAACCCTTTCGTCTAAAATAAGAATTTAATAATTTTATTATTTTTTTCTTATTTTAATAATCTTTAATTTTATGGGATAAGAGGCGCTGGGGGAAGGTTAAGTACCAAAGGAGAAATATTTACTAAAGTGTCCCCTTCCATTTGTTTTCCAACACGGAACGGATATTTTAAACCCTTCCCCCTCATACAGGTGATACGAACCTCTTCCTCCAAAATAATTAAAACAGTTGTGTTGAAAATTCAATGTCATAGAAAATACGATCATAAATTGTCATTAAACTGACCATATTTTCTGAGGTCATTTTGTATTGCAAAAAGTGGTGGGAACAAACGCATGTATTGGGTAAAATATTTTTCAAAGTGTTCTCTTTAATTTCTTCTCCAGCATGGAACACATTTTGCGAGGTCTTATGTCGCTAAACTGTGTCGTAATCCCCTTCCCTTTTAAAAGTAAGACAATCAATTTATATTAAAGTGAAGCCTATCTTCACAGGCCATTTTGTATAGTAACGAGTGGTATGGGACGTTCGATTATAATGACTTAAGTATTTTTTGAAATGTCCACTAAAATTTCTTCTACAACAAGGAACACATATTTCAATGCCTTCGGTCGCAAATACGTGTTGTAAACTCCTTCCCTTAAAAAAGTAAGGCAATACATTTGAACTAAAGTGAAGCATATCTTTAAGGCTATTTTGTATAGTAAGAAGTGGTCGTTTATATGAGTAAAATATTTTCTGAAGTGTCCTATTTTGTGTAAAATATTATTTGAAGTTTCCCCTACAATTTCTTCTCCAAGATGGAATGCATTTTTCAACACCCTTCTGCTCAATACCCTCCTCCAAATGCATCCCCTTTGGACTATACCACAATAAATATAATTTCAAGAGCATATAGCTCCGCAGGTCATTTTCTATGGTAGACCATTGACTACTTTGTGTAAAATATTATTTAAAGTGTCCCCAAAATTTCATCTCCAAGATGGAACACAATTTTCAACGCGCTTCTGCTCAATACTCTTCTTTAAATCCCTTCCCTTTGCAAAATAACACAATAAATATAATTTCAAGAGCATATATCTTCGCAGGTCATTTTCTATGGTAAGGAGTGCCGGTAGACCATTCACTACTTTGTGTAAAATATTATTTGACGTTTCCCTCACAATTTCTTCTCCAAGGTGGAATACAATTTTCCAACACCCTTCCGCTCAATACTCCTCCGCAAATCGCTTCCATTTGGAAAATAACACAATAAATATAATTTACTAAGCATATATCTTCGCAGGTCATTATCTATGGTTAGGAGTACCGATAGACCTTCGACTATTTTGTGTAAAATATTATTTGAAGTATCCTCCACAAGTTTTTCTCCAAGGTGGAATACATTTTTCTACACCCTTCCCCTCAATACCCTCCTGAAAATTCCTTTTCTTTAAAAATAACACAATAAATATAATTTTAAGAGCATGTAACTTTGCAGGTCATTTTCTATGGTAAGTAGTGCCGGTAGACGTTCGAATATTTTGTGTAAAATATTTTTTGAAGTTTCCTCCACATTTCCTTCTCCCAGGAGGAACACAATTTTCAACGCCATTCCGCTCAATACTCTCCTTCAAATCCCTTCCCTTTGGAAAATAACACAATAAATATTATTCGAAGAGCATATATGTTCGCATGTCATTTTCTATGGTAAGAAGTACCGGTAGACCTTCGACTATTTTTTGTAAAATATTATTTGAAGTTTCCCCCACAATTTTTTCACCAAGGTGGAATACATTTTTCAACAATCTCCTCCTCAAAATTGTCTTTGCAAATTTCTTCATTTTGAAAAATAACACAATAAATACTATTTGAAGTGCATAAAACTTTGCAGGCCGTTTTCTATGGTAAGGAGAGATGGGGGACGTTCGACGATTTTATGTCAAATATTTTTCGAAGAGTTCTCTATAATTTCCTATTTAAAACTAAATACATATTCCTACTACTTTCCCCTCAAAAATGTGTTTTACGTTTTGCCTCTTAGAAAATCTGCTAAAATAAATTGTTATAAAATTTACATATTATATCGAATGTAATTTTCGATGGTAAGGAGTGGTGGGGGAAGGTTGGTTATAATAGGTAGAATATTTATTGAAGTGTCATCTATAATTTCTTTTCTAACATAGAGTGTATATTTCACTTCCCTCTCCCCCCAAATTACAATTCAAATGTTTTCCTTTTAAAAAATACTCCATAAAATATTCTTCTATCACATTTATTTTATATTTTTCCTTGTTATGGATGGGTATTTTCCAATGTAATTTTTGATGGTAAGGAGTGGTGGGGGAAGGTTGTTTATAACAGGTAAAATATTCATTGAAGTGTCATTTACAATTTCTTTTCTAACATGGAATGTATATTTCACTTCTCTCTCCCCCAAATTGCATTTCAAATGTATTCCTATAGAAAATTCAGTCCCTAAAATATTCTTCAACCACATTTATTTTCTATGGCGATTTTCTATGTTATGCAGAGGTGGGGGACGGTTGACCCCTATCGATAAAATATTATTTGAATTATTCTCAATAACTCTTTCTCCAAGACGGACCACATATTTTAACTTCTTCTCCCCCAAAATTTGTATTCCAAAATGTCTTCCCTTTGAATAATTTCCTTAAAACTATTATTTTTTCTTACATATCTTCTATGATGATTTTCAAGGGTAAGGCGGAATGGATCATGCTTGACTATATTGTAGAAAATATTATTTGAAATGCCCTCTAACTTTTCTTCCTTACGATGGAATAAATATTTCAGCTTAATCTATCACAAAGCTGCAGTTCAAAATGTCTTCTTCCATAGAAGAGCCGTTCTTTCAATTATTAATATTTTTATTTATATAAATATGTATATATATATATCTATATAAATTAAATCTACTCACCACAAAACGGTATTCCTTCGGGCAGCCAAACACCCTTATCACAAACTCTTCGGGCTGGTCCCAATAATTCAAAACCACGTTCGCAGGAATATGAGGCCACAGTGCCATCGGTTAAATTGGCATTGGTAAAGACCACTGTACTATGGGCTGGGGAACCAGGAAAACTGCAAGAGCCATCTATAAAAAATAAAATACAAAAACAACAAGAAGAAAACATTAACAATTATGTCATAATCATTAGAGTAAACGAAAAAAAAACATTACATAAAAAAATTTCTTCCTGGCCAGCAAAAATTTCACCCAAAACTAAAAAAGATTAATTGAGACATTTCTCCAGTTTGGTCTTCAGGCAACCATTTTTTTTTTTATTTTTATAAAATTAATGTGCGAATGTGAAAACCAGTAAAGAAATGGGTTTATCGTGTAAATGTCATTAAAAATGTTTAACCCAAATTTAAAGCGAGAAAAACATGCTCGAAGTCATACACCACCATCCATTGCGAAGAGGCAGGGCGGTAGAGAGAAAGCGAACGACAAGGAAACTTGGTTTTCAGGAAATAATCTTTGCTGCCACATTTGGTGCATGATTCACAGGTTTAACTTGAGGTGCAGCCAAGACGCACTCACACACACACACACATTTACATATATATTTCTTTATATAATTTTTCATATAGACATTACGCACTCTAGAGGAATAGGCCAACACAGAAAACTTCGCGTCTTACACAATAGCTTCTATTTGGCAAACATTGTCATCATCCACCACAAACGCCAAAAATGGAAGAGACTCCTATCGGCAAAGATGAGGGTATACACACATACATATCTATATTTAATGGCTGTAACTTTGAATAAAAAAATATATATTTTTTCTGTAACGACCACCTCAGGCCAGCGGAACCCAAATGCCAGATCGGTCCATTGTCTTTAAAATTGCATTTGCACACATTGTTCATGCGTTTGGATTTTGATTTGAATAAATTTCAAATGCTTATTTCGAAATTTTGCGGCAATGGAAATGCGGAGATGATGCAAGACCTCTGCTTGCCGCAAGGCAAAAAACCCAAACGCATTACAAAAACAAAAAAAAGAAGTTATTGTAATTTATGTACCAGCCATTAGCTAAGTTTGACAAATTTCCTAACAAATCATATGTTATATGACTTTTAAGTGGCATTATTATAGCCATTGGTCAGGTCAGGAGGAAAATTGGCCATTGTTTTAAGATGAGCCAAACACACACACACACACACATCATAAAGATTTTAAGTGGTCAGGCAATTATGTGGTGGGGCAGAGACAAATGAGTGGACACTTTTTGTTATAATTTTCCAAGAAAACAACAGGGGCGTAGATTTCAAAATATATTTTTCCCAAGGACGAACCCTATTGAAATTGGGAAAAATTGGTTCAGATTTAGATAGCTCCCATATATACATTTTCATTCGATTTAAGGTAAATGGTGCATCGAAGCCCGTACTGAATTCAGTCTAGAATGATGTGTGTTAAGTTTCGTGAAAATCGGTTCAGATTTAGATATAGCTCCCATATATATTTTCGTCCGATTTAAGGTAAATGGTCCACCAAAGTCCCAAAATATCTTTCGATTTGCACGAAATTTGGCACATCATACGGAATTAAGCCTAGAATGATATGTGTTAAGTTTCGTGCAAATCGGTTCAGATTTAGATATAGCTCCCATATATTTTTTCGTCCGATTTAAGGTAAATGGTGTACCAAAGTCCCTATATATCTTTCGATTTGCACGAAATTTGGCATAGCGTAATGAATTACGTCTAGAATGATGTGTGCTAACTTTCGTGAAAATCGGTTGGGATTTAGATATATTTTCCATATATATTTTCGTCCGATTTAAGGTATATGGTACCCCAAAGTCCCTAAATATCTTTAGATTTACACGAAATTTGGTACAGGATATTGAATTGAGTCTAGAATGATGTGTGCTAAGTTTCGTAAAAATCGGTTCAGATTTAGATATAGCTCCCATATATATTTTCGTCCGATTTAATGTAAATGGTGTACCAAAGTCCCTAAATATCTTTCGATTTGCACGAAATTTGGCATATCGTAATAAATTAGGTCTAGAATGATGTGTGCTAAGTTTCGTGAAAATCGGTTGAGATTTAGATATAGCTCCCATATATATTTTTGATCCGATTTAATGTAAATGGTGTACCAAAGTCCCTATATATCTTTCGATTTGCACGAAATTTGGTATATCGTAAATAATTATTTCTAGAATGATTTGTGTTAAGTTTCTTGAAAATCGGTTCAGATTTTGATATAGCTCCCATATATATTTTCGTGCGATTTAAGGTAAATGGTGTACCAAAGTCCCTATATATCTTTCGATTTGCACGAAATTTGGCATAGCGTAATGAATTAGGTCTAGAATGATGTGTGCTAACTTTCGTGAAAATCGGTTGAGATTTAGATATAGCTCCTATACGTCCGATTTAAGGTAAATGGTGCACGAAAGTCACTAAATAGGTTTCGATTTTCACGAAATTTATTATGGTGTACTGAATTAGGTTTAGAATGATGTGTGCTAAGTTTCTTGAAAATCGGTTGAGATTTAGATATAGCTCCCATATATATTTTCGTCCGATTTAACGAAAATGGTGTACTAAAGTCCCTATATATCTTCCTATTTGCACGGAATTTGGCATAACGTAATGAATTTGATCTAGAATGATGTGTGTTAAGATTCATAAAAATCGGTTAAGATTTAGCTATAGCTCCCTTATATATTTTCGTCCGATTTAAGGTAAATGGTGCACCAAAGTCCCTATATATCTTTCGATTTGCACGAAATTTGGCATAGCGCAATGATAGCAACTAACAGCCCCTTTGGTTGTTGTACTCGCGGTTAGAGCGATGTCTCTTGGCGTCTTTTTTTTGCAAATGTAACCGCACAATTTGCACATGATCATTTACATTGCGTGTAGTTTTTTTTTTTAACTTATTTTTGTTTTTTTAACTCCATGCAAACTGCAGTAAAACTATTGCTCACTGAAAACTCAACAAACAAACACTAAACCTACGTACATATATAAGCAAAAGTAATAATAATAAATTTTAAGATAAAAAACAAAAACAAAAAAAAAACAAAAAGAAAACCAGCGAAACAAATACAACAATGCAAACAGCGGCACAGCTCTAACAAAAGGCCGGAGCAGCAACAACAACAAAAACCACATATTGTAACAACATCGTTAAAATGCCTAAGCGATTTTTTTTCTGAACTTTATTTTTCTTGTTGTCGTTGTTTTTATAAAAATAGGAATTTTTCTAGAAAAAAATAAACCAAAAACAAAAGAATTTGCACACCATCACCACCACCGACAACATTAACATGGAATTCTTGACATCGTCAATTGTCTCAATGGTGTTGCTGGTGTTCGCACACCAACAGCCAACCAACAACAAGAACAACAACAGCGGTGTCATGAAAATTCAACACAAAAATAATTAACTGGAATTGGTGCATAAATATGTCAATATAAATATTTGATTTTGTTCCTTTGGTGTTGGGGGTTTTGAGGCTGCTAGAATTTGCAATTTAAACAAGGCAAAAATGATGTTCATGTTTGGTCATGATTGTAGCTGGGTGTTAAAAATTGGCGCTATTTGGTGGAGTGAGCATGTGGACATCATTCTTTGAGAAAATATTTTTATGGTTTTAGACGATAAAAGAAAATTATTTGAAGGGGGTATGTTTTTGCTATGGCAAAACAAAAGACTTAAGACACGAACTTTGCCCATGATTTGCCAAATTATATGGGGAAACCTTTATAAGTATTTATTCTTATAAATATCTTAAATACAGTCGAAATCGCTTATAACTAGGACCAAGGGACTGGTGAAATGTTTCGCGATATTCGTTATAAGTGATATCAAAAATAGGGCAGCATTTTCCGGGATTTTTAGAAGCTATCCCAAAACAATTTCAGAGGATATATCAGTGGACAATCAAAGAACCAATATTACAGTATTTTTTCAGGCCCCTTTTTAAAAGTACTTAACAGACTCTACAATAACTCATTACAGGCCTCAAAAAATAATCGAAAAAATCCCTTATTATAGCTTCTGGAGTCTACAAAAAAAAAAAAAATCCCAATCGACCAAAAGAATATTTTGATTTTTTTCTCTTCGTCCGATTTAAGGTAAATGGTGCACCAAAGTCCCCAAAATATCTTTTGATTTGCTCGAAATTTGGCACAGCCTACTGAATTCAGCCTATAATGATGTGTGCTAAGTTTCGTGAAAATCGGTTGAGATTTACATATAGCTCCCATATATATTTTCGTCCGATTTAAGTTAAATGGTGCACCAGTCCTTAAATATCTTTCGATTTGCACGATATTAGGCACAGCGTACTGAATTCAGCCTAGAATGATGTGTGCTAAGTTTCTTATAAATCGGTTCATCAACGGTAACTCATTACAGGCCTCAAAAAAGTCCCCATAGACTATTGACCCTTCCCTATGATTGTTTTGTTTTCTTTTTCTCTCAACTAGTATTTAAACAATAGAATATTATATATTTTTGTATACATATATTTTTATAATTTATTGTTGTATTTTTCTATTTTTTCTTGTTTATCGTTTATTTGCAAACATTTTTTTTTCTACACTTAATTAATTATTCTATTTAGGTGGTATTAAATCATCGTCGCTATGACGGCGTTTTTCCACAATTTTTACAAAGACGTTACAAGAATTTTTAATTGCCTATTTTTAATGGCGAACAAATATATATGTGTGTGTATGTTAGTATTGTGGTTATGATATCATTTGACTTAAAAGTTTATATTTAAATCAAAAAATAAAAATTTTAAATATAATAAAAAATATATAAAGTATTTTTTATACCCTACACAACTATGTTGTCAGGGTATTATAGCTTTGTGCAGCCCCAAGGTCCTAGCCCTGAAGATCCTAGACCCGAGAAGTTGATAGTATATCCAAGAGGAGTGGTTGGCCTTTAAATTGATACCAATTATATTGTCGTATGTACTCGGATGCGAGACTTACACATAAATATTTACAGGTGCTTACGTAGTCATATATTATTTAGTAACCCCTTACCACACTAGAGGGCGGAAATATAGCGCTGATCGCTTTGAAATTTTCCATGAGGTTTAAGTTATG